ATTAATTAGAGCCTAATCTAATTAATATCTCTAACATTAATTCACAATAATGTCGGTGAATTATTATAAGAATAAGTTAGAGATAAAATGATAAAGTGAGTACATATGCACTAGAGACTGTTATACATACTTGTTAAGAGCGAATGTGGAATCTTCAAAAGGTAGATGAGGTGAAGTATTTAATATATGGTATTTCAAGAGTTTGAAAATCATAATAAATACATCAGAGATAAAATTTCAAAATTATCCCAAAGTTGTGGGGATATATTATCAATAGATGAAATTTGTTACAAGTTACCTTATCTTAAAAGAAATACTTATAAATGTGGAGGGTTTTGAGTCCTACGAGTTTTAGGATAGAACCAAAAATCATTTATAGTATTATAATAATAATGCATGTTGTTTCCTACAAGAAAAATATTATGGAACAACTAGAAGAGTTCTTTTTCCAACTGAAGAACTGAGTTATTTGTTCCAGTTGAAGAGTCAAGTTTGCAAGCTTATAAGCCCTTGAGTGGATTAAAGCTAGTACCAAGATAATGACATAAATGTGATGCATAAGTCATTACATGCCTTAAAAAAAATTAATGATATACTAATTAGTATATTTGATATAAAAGATTTAATATCTGATAACATAGCATATTCTCAATAGAACGAGATTAAGATAATACTAGTTATGAAAACAAAAGTCTAGCTAACTTTTGTAGATGTAAATCTTAATATAACCTTTGTATATGAATTTTCCATCCACCTCCATCTCAGCTAAAAAACGAACAAATAACCCTTCTCACGGCTGAGAGTTATATCATCCATATACAAAGGTTTGGCAATATTTGAAACGATTTTTGATATAGATGTCCCACTTCTTGCATGCACAGGCAAATCACATACCTTCATCCATATCGGAATTATTGCTAATATATCTCTTTCCAATTGAATACTCTTTTCTCTTATTTACAGAGAAAAGGTTTTGCGTTGGTTTCTAGATGCTTTCTTTGTTACAAGGAAGTGGAGAGTATTGATCATTTATTTTGTTGCTGTGAGTATATAAGAAATGTATGGCACAATTTCGCAGGAATTTGTATTTCGAATGCTCAAGTTTGTAATGGGACATATGAGTTGGCAGAGTTCTTTACTCAACAATATCAAGGGAAGGGGAGGAAGATGAAGATGGCAAGGATCTTGCTTACAACTTCCTTATATTTTTTTATGGGGTGAAAGGAATAACAGAATGCATAATGATACAGTGCGAGAGTCTAAGGATTTAGCAAAGTGTATTCTTTGGGAGGTACTTGATGTCATGGGGGTATGTCTTCAGGACATCCTGTAGCTCTCTTGTTTTTTTTGGCTTGTTTTGAGCGTTTTGTTTTCCCTTTTTAAGGGATTTGTTTTGTTTTGGTAAGGGGATTCCCTTATTTGTCTTTGTACTATATTGTTCATATTTATAAAAACCCCTTCATTTAGGAAAAAAAAAAAAAAAAAAAGAAAGAAAGAAGAAGATGTAAATCTTAAATATAAATACTAGTCAAAATATATCACTTGTTGAGATTGCAAGGCATCTTAATAACTGTGATTAATTGCACACTTTCAATCTAGGATAAGATCACTAAAAAGCAATAAATTGGGTAATTGAAATATATCCTAAGTCAAATATTGCATAGATCAAGGTATCTAACTAAATTGGAGGTGTAACAGTGATGCAATATGGATGTGGGATATTAAAGACTTTAAATCTAAGAGTGGATATGTCTTTTATCGAAGGCTGGACTATCAATTATAATTCAATCCTTTTTGCAATAGCACAAATCATTGTAAAATAGGGCTATTGGTCAGGTAAGTCGAACCACTGGGACTGCTAGTCTATGGCAACTTAGGTGTCTAGAGTCATTTTTAGAATGATAAAGGGGGTTATAGAGGATTTGTTGGATTGTCACTAAGATTATGAATTGAAAAGTGCATAAAACATTAATGCTAAGAAGTAAAGAGGCAAAGACAATTAAAAGGGGACTAGGGAAGTGAATCCACTACCCACCAATAAGCATGCTAGGACATGATTTACTTGGGGAAATATATATATATAATCATGGAATGCAACAACATAGCATTGATACATTATCTTCAAGAAATATATGAAAACAAGATACAAGAATAACCTATCAAGGCACTACATGTTTTGGCCACCTAAACTAGGATGCAACCTTAGACATGATCACCAAGCCATAGATCATTAAGCCCTTTATCTCATAATAGGAGCACATGAAATAGAAATCAAGAAGAATCTATCAAAAGAAAGCCCTAAGCAATAGATTATCAAAATTCCTAAATATCATGCCAATAAAAACACTTCTATGAACTCATCTCCATTGTCACTATGAAAATATAGCAATATAATCATGAGAGAAAAATAATCTAAGACAAGATATTTGACTCAAAATGATCATTTATAGATAAAGAGATTCATTACATCATATGAAGTGCTCTAGTTCATGGAAAAGTTACATATATACATTATAACCCAAATATAAATCAAAACATAGCAATGCTTACAAAATGGGGCTTCATCACCTCCCTAGATAGGGAGTTAGTTACCCATGAAGACAAAGAATGAAGGAGAAGATGAAGAATCCCTCTCTATTTCCACACCTTAAGCTCAAGAACACCCAAGACCCTCCAAACTCACTCTTTCTCTCTCTAGAACTTAGCAAAATGTGAGATATCCCAAAATAATGAGTTTTCCCCCTTATTATACATCAAAACCTACTCCCCATACTGAAAATACCGAGCTCCCCCCTCTGCATGAAGCTAGGCCACACAAAAAAAGGATAAGGGGACCAAGATGCTGAAATTCAGGAGCAGTTGAGCTGTCTACTGCAGGTCGGCGGGCGCCCGCGAGGCGCTGGAGGGAGCCCACGGTAGCTCGCGAAATCAAAGAGGGCACTGGCATGTTTGGCGGGCGCCCGCCATGGCGCGACGAGCGCCCACGGTGGCTCGCGAGGGCTCCCACGAGAGCTCAGCAAGGCTTCGCGAAATGGGGCAGAGAGATAAGGGAATTGGCGGGCGCCCGCGGGGCCTTGCACCTGTACTTCAAACCAAGGCTTCTCGTAAGCCTTTTCGAGCTGGAGCACTGACGCGGCTTCCACTATGAACACTAGGCCACGAACTTCACAAATATGGCGACTGAAGAGGTTAGGTCCCGAAGATGACTCCCCGACACGGCGCACGTATTTCAACAGAAAGCTGTTAAAACCACTTCTTTGATCATTCTTGGGAAAAATACCTGAAATCAGAAAGAAATACACAACTGAATTAAAATTGTACATTATCTTCTAATAATGAACTTAACTAATGCAAGAAAGGGCGCTTGAATATGTAATATTCGGCGCTTATCATCTTTAATATTAAAGGTGCAGTTATATGTTCTTAATATAACTCAAAATTAGAAGCTTTGAATAAATCAAATAGGAAAGTCAATAGATTTCACCTAGAGGATATTTCAAAGTAAGTCTACACCTGTGCCATTGAAGAAAATGATATTGCTAATAAGTAATTTTGGGGCACAAAGTATACATTTGCTCTCAATCGGAGAAATTTCTGCAGAATATAATATTTCTATTACAATAGTGTGGCCGCATATAAAATTGAGGGTTGTACTAGAGAGCAGTTGTACAGATCATTGATGGGAATGGGGTTAAAGCCGAAAGCTAACGAGTCATCTTAATGGAAACCCAACCTAACTGACTAGAGATCCCAATATCTAGGTTCGAAGGGATAATAAAAATTCTGAATAGCTTACCAAAAGCACTGGTAATATATTAATCTTTTACCCATTTCTAGGATGAGATAGTTGTGATGCCCCCTTGATTTTCAAGCCATGGGTTGATTAAGTCCAAGCCCAAAACCTAAGGGATATTAAGCAATTAATATTTTAAATCGAATACAAAATACAAAAAGATAAAGAAATAATATTGCTGAAAGAAAAACTAATAAATAATTAAATATCCTCTAAATAAAATCCATAAATCCTCAAAGTTAGACAATAAAATCCCCTTAGAATTAAATCTTCAAAAAAATACAACTCGGGAATTCTCAAACATGGACCCCTAATAAAATCCCATAACTGAAAATAATTAAATGTCTAAGAAACTGAAATAATTAATCAAAAGATAGAATCCTACATCGATGACACCGGAAGAGTAATGATGCCAAGTCTCTGATCTGCACGAACAACTGTTAATCCTACTACTGACGAGAACCTAAAAAAACCTATGTTCTATATCAATTCATTCAACAAAGACAAATATAAACATAAACCCACAAAACCTATGTTCTATATCAATTTTAAACATAAACACAGATTTTACTAATGTTTTAACAGATCCTAAAGTTATACTAAAGGTATACAGAACACAGATTTAAGGGAGAAGTGCAGAACATAGGACTTGCATTAAGCTTTCGGATCAAAAGCTAACTACCTCTTCCTTGTTCTTCTTCTCTAACGCCGGCAACCTTCGAGTTACCGCCGTTTACTCCACTAACCCGATCTGCCCACGAGCAGACCTTCTTCTTCTCTCTCCCTTCCTCACGTTTTCTCTCACTTCTCTTCCTTCTTTTCTCTTTCTAGATATACTCTATATGTATATATAAAGGCATCTACAGAGCCTTGTTGGGCTCACTAAAGAGTGCCATTTTCTATTAAGATTCATTCTCAGAGGTCTGATATCATGTTGCCCTACCAATTATCTTGAAAGTTTAAACTACTATGAAATGGCCCAATAATATATATTCTCACATGCCTAATGTGAACACAGCACATGGAAGCTCGGGGTATTTTCGTATCACCAGAAATTGTTTTCATGTGCTACCATACAAGTTCATGAGTGGAGTAACACCATGCATTGTAGTACAAAGGCTTTGGCTTAATTTGTTGTCCTTAATTTATTTTGTTCCTTCTTCCTTTATGTTTGATCATTTTATTCTAAGGCATGAACATATAGATGTCAATTGCAAAACTCAGATCATATTAACACTACTTGTCTGTCCAAATTGAAACAAAGCACTCTTGAACAATGATAAAAAGTACAGAGAAAATCACTCACCAAAAACATGATCAAAACAGATTAATGGGTAACAAACTGAAGCTACTTTCTCAAGTAATTGCTATAAAAAAAATTTTAAAAAAAATGCTTTTTGGAATATGGAATTGAATGTAGATAAAAATATCCCCTTTTCTAATGATCTCTTTCTCCATATATGAATTCCTTAATTCTCAAGAAATGGAATTCCTCCACTTTCTGGGCATCTTTCTTGTTTGTTCTGCATTTGGGATATGAGAACCAATATCATTAGTTTCTAAAGCTGTCATCTTGGTGATCTTGCTCAATTTTTTCCACCCACTGGTCCATGCTGATGTTTGTTTTGGCTTTGCCATCTTATCGAATTGTCTCTGCAAGTTCTCCATGTCATTTTGCAGCTCTAGGTACTTAGCCTTGACAGTCTCGAGCTCAAACTTAAGAGTGTTGATGTCCTTTTTGGCCGCAGCCCATCCTTCTTGAAATGACTGGGGGGTTGCTTCAAGTAATGTTTTTCGGTTTGATATCATAGGCTGGTAGTTGGATTCACCGGCTTCTTTCAGGGAAGTATTGGCTAGTGTATTGCTTATTTTTACCTGTTCAGAGAAGAGGACTTGCACCACTACTCTTAAAGGGAGGCGTTCATTTTGTGCAGCGTGCATGCACGCGTCAATTGACAGCTTCTGGCAGTCCATCAAACGGCATAGCCTCTTCCTTTCATGCTCTGAGAGTGTTGGATGAGCCTGTGAATTTGTAAAATGGATCAAAGTTTTAACCACAGGGAGACATCTAACTTGGCTATATGGAAATTTTGATACAATTAGAATTAGCCACAGAGAACTTTGATACAATAGCTAGATTATCCACAGAAAATTTTTATTACTCTCCTTTTTTTAGCCCATCAAGAAAAAAATTCAGTTCCAAAAAACATGGTTACCCCTAACATACTTACACAGAAGGATTGATTTATTCTATTTTCTATTCATACATATAAAATCTTGTAGTTTTCTAATGCTAATCTGACAATCATTTAGGTACTGAAGTCTAAGACAATGCTGGTGATGAGATATGTATGTAGCTCTTTTCTTTTTCTTTTTTCCCAAAGGTTCAAGCAAACGCGCACACCCCCATACTATTGCCCCTAGTAGGACTCGAACACTCAACTTCCCATTTGGAGAGGAGAGATCATACTATCTAGGGTAATGCCCTATCAGTATGTATGTTCATTCTGATAACGTGCATCATATCATGTCATAGAAGTGGCATGTATGAGGCAGCTTCACTATGCTATTATGTCACGTTACTTTCAAGACATGATGGAGCACAAAAATACCCATATGTAGAAAACAGGAAAGACCCAAGAAATAAATCAATAAATATGAAAATTGGACTTACTAAGAGAACTCAAAAAATTTAGATTTGGATTACCTTAAGATAAGAATCAATGGCTCGATATAATCCATCATCACAAGTTCTTGCAGAATCCGGCAGAGTCTCTGCCAGGACTTGAAACTTTGTCAAAGAGAGATTTCTATCTCTGGACACCTCTGTAAGATAACTGTCAACAAGCCTTGCAACTCTCATCTTGGCATTTGGATTACAAGCCCTTTGAGTTCCTTCATACATGTGCTTATCCGAAAAAGATTGTCTGCCTGGACTCGAACTTTCCATCTGCTCTTGAACAACAAAGTGCTCCAAAAGCCTCTGAACAAGTTCAACATCATACAAAGTCTCACTCTTACCATAAGATGGTATCATAAGATCCCCCAATGTAGCCTGCTCAAACTGCATTCCCACGCGTTTCTCCAACTCCATAACCAAAGCAGGAGCCACTTTCAACATGTTTGCCATTCTCAATAGCCGAAGAAGGAAGCTGCACGAAACAGTGTCCTTCTGTGGAGGTATTATACTTATCAAACTCTCAATGATCATTCTTTGATCTTTGGCCTGAACATTGGATGTCTCATCTTTAGTTCCAGCCACAATCATATGAAGCCCTCCATTCCAACTACTGTTACCACCACCATTGCTTCCTTCATCAACCATTGTTGTCCCATCTTTTATCAATCCGGGGAGCCATTTAGCTGCATAGTGCATTAAGGCGGCTCCAATCAACTCAAATCTCAACCCCTTAACCTTAATTGCAGTGATGACACGAACAAAGTGATCGATCCTAAGAATTGACACATCTTCAAACCACCAATCACTAGGAACTTGGTGGCTCCTACTGGGGCTTGAGTCCTTCATTTCATTCCATTTTGGACTAGAAACATTTGGGGGTTTTCCGGTATATGCCCATCTTATTCCTTTCGGATTGGCACAAGCCTTCCATGCAATGGACTCGCTGCATCTTCGTACAATCTGGAGGTTTTCTGACCATGGTGACAGCTTCTCACAGCTTTTAAGTACTAAAATTGAATCTCTCCATGATGATAAAACCACGTAGCTGAGAAACGCTTCGGTTTTGAATATAAGATTGCCTTCTTCTAAGTCCTCTGTCATTTCAAGGTACTCTGCTGCACATCTCAGGCCAGAGATATTGGATGCTGTTAGATCAAGTGCAATTCCATAGCAGAACTTTGCTGCTAGCTCAAAAGCTTCCGACCCACCAGGAAGATCATCTAGAACTACCCGGTTCAAGTCTATGTCGCGTGATTCGTATATGATTCTGTTCATCTTTCCACTCCTAGAAAGGAGGGGATACTTCAATGATGGAGATAAAAGAAAGAGTGTGTCATTTAATCGAACAAAACACATGTTGTTATGTTAATAACATCTTCAATTCCGAAGCTTCAAGATGGAAAATTCAAATGAATGAGCAGAGAAATAGTTACCTTGTGCAAGTGGAAACTAACATCTCCAATTAGAACTAAAAAATCACTTGGAATATCAGTTGAAACATACCTTCATACATGTCAAACTCACAAAGTCAAATTAGAAGCTTTATATAAGAGAAAATTGTTAGCTTGAAGTAAAAAAACAAGAAAAAAAAAAATTATATATATTTTTTGCAGTTTTTAGTTTACTGATATAGTTATGAATTCATACATACCAAGATTGGCCTCTTTGCTCAAACCCATCAGTTTTGACACTGTTCTTGCTAGAAGTAAGTACTCCACTGTTGTAATCTCTACCTCCAACTGACTCATTCTCTGAATCCCACATGATTGGAGGCTAGAAAATTTGAGCAGGATTTTCTCAGGAAAGTGACAGTTTGGTTCAGGGGAAGAGCAGAGAAAATAAGCAGAAGAACAAAGCAGAACAGCCAGAGCTGGTGAGCTAAAAAGGAAGAATTTCACATGGGGATGCTTGGAATTATCTATAAATCTAGAATTGTGGGCTTCTCACTGTGGATTATGAAGCCTGTGACAGGCTGTGAAGTAATGGGCATTACAGGTATTGTCTTTGGATCATTCTGCTTAGATTTCTTTTCTTTGGCTTTGAATGTCAGATGGTACTTATCAAAAGTGGGAGATTCAGCTCCTTCTCTTTAACCTCCTTTTTATGATTACCTTTTCTTACTCTTAATATATATATATATATATATATATATATATATAGTACTTTGTGTTGAATTGTTACAATCCCAAAACATTCCTCTGTTGACGAGAGTGTGACTTGGGTAGGTATGACACATACCCAACTAACATATACCTATTATTGCAAAAAAAGACACCTAGACCCTCAGCCTTGAAAGTGGAAGGAGGTTATTCCTATCGCCATTTTATTTACCAAAAAAATATATATATGTAGGATGAAGGAGGATGATAAATATTAAAAATCAAAAGAATTAAAGTGGATTTAGATCACTAAAGTAGCGTTATCCAATTGCCTGGTTAGTAAAGCGTCTCACTCTTCTAAAGATGTGTCCGTATTCGAGTATTCCTCCTCATAATTTGACAAAATAAAAAAATAATAATAATAATAAATAAAATTAGATCAGTAATGAAAATCTCAAAATCTTCAACAAGATTCCTATAAGACACAAAAATATGATTTTTATGTCATAAATGATGAAATTTGACTAAAAAACAATCAATATTACACGCTAGTATTGATTGTTGGTAAGTTTTCAATCGAAATTGAATCTTTGAAGATCAAAATGGTCTCATTGAAACTATTCAAAAAAATATGTCAACATGTTCATTTAGACTTTAAATTGTCTAATAATAAGACTCAATGGTAATAGCTATTGATTGGATAAAATTGGGATGATACTGTACTAACATATATAAAGACTGGTATATTGGACATACCCAAAAAGACTGAGAAAGTTTGGTAATATGGGTCCCAAAAGTTTTATGAACTCTTGGTATTTAAAAATTGAAACCACTGAATTGTGGCATTATTAGTAGGCCCATTATTAGAGGCTTATGACCATGATCTGCAATGGTTTTTCTGCAGCAGTGTCAGAATTTGATGATCCATCTCCACCAACATGACATGAACTTGGCTGTATTAATTAGGATTTGCACTTTTCTAAAAGCTGTTGAGATATCTTTGTCCACTATTTTGATTGTTTGGTGCTTGATTTGATTACTCATTACCTATTTTAATTATTGAGAACACCCTTGTAGGAGACTGTAATGACTTCATTTTTAGCAGTTTCTTTTTAGCTTGACAGAGTCACACTGATGAAGAACCCCGCTGCTGCATCACATACTTCATTTGAATTTTTAAATTTTAAGTATTTGGGCTGATATGTTACTATTGCTCACTGCAAAAGCATTCCAAATCAACTTCAAATATCCATGTTGAGTACTGTTGGGTTCTCAAAAGAGAAGTGTCAAGGTAATACACACAATTATCATTTAGGTCAGATTCCATCACGAGATTCTCAAAATTTTGAGAGGTTCTATACAAACTTTCAAATACTAGACCCTTGAAAATTTGAAGCAGTTCCAAATTGGAGGTCCTAGAAGACAGTCTGGAATACCTATGGTCAAGGTCAGTCCTGATTTAGGCTCGTTTGTTTGTATATAAAATATTTTTTAGAATATATATTTTTATTTTTTGGTATTTGATTGTTGTAAAATATTTTCGAAAAAAAAAAAAAAAAAAAAAAAAAGGGCTAAAATCGTATAATCCCCCTCTTGTTTCTAAAAATTATCAAGTAACCTCCTCAACTAAAGAAACTATCATATTACTCCTTGATGTTTTAAGAAGTCTATCATATCACCCCCTCCCTGTTAGTTTCCCGTCTAAAATTGACAGGATAATATCAGGTTACAATCACGTGCAGCAAATTTGACCAAAATAACCTTGTAATTTGTAATGATAAAATTACCCTTCTCACATTATAATTTTAATTTAATAAAATATTAATATACTATCAAGGGCATTATTAACATTTCGCAATAATTTAACGGTTATATAACATTTTTTAAAATAAGAGGGTGTTTAGGATTTTAGCCCAAAAATATATAAATATATTAAAATCTAACAAAAATAATTTACCTATCAATTTTTTCGGCAATTTATTTTGCACCCTCCACCGGATGGATTCGACCTCAACCTAACCCTTTACTAAACACTGAAAAAAAAATAATTAAAAAAATATATATTTTAACATTTGAAAGAAATATTTTGCTTCAAAACAAACATAGTGTAAATACTAACCCGTTTGGGATTGCTATTAGAATGTTGAAAGCGTTTTTATCAGTAGAGTTATAAATTTGATGTCAGTAAAATGCAGTTATGCGTTTGATGACATATTGTATAAATCACTTTTTATACTTGAAGCATTTTTAAATTTATTTAATAATAATGTTACTTAAAGCACTGTTATTACTAATTTTACTATATTACCCTTATACTAAAATTTTGTTAATTCCCTAATATTAAATATTATAAAATTTCATTGAGTTCAATAATTTATAAATATCAACTTGTATATTTTTTTAAATATAACATATTTTGTTTATGATATAAAACTTTTATTTAGTACTAAAATATAAATGGAAGGTGATTGGAGAGTATTAGAATAAACTAGGATATTTACGGAATCCCATAATAACTAAGATATTATTTGATATTTATTTCTAGTAGGAACAAAATTGTATTTATTAAAAATATAAAGAGATTATATTATCTAAAAACAATTAGTTATCTAAAAAAATAAACTACTATCTCTATCGTAGTTTTAAAAGCGCTAACATTTACTATCTATATAAGTATTTTTTGTTTTTTCCACCAAACACGTTGAATCGCAATTTTTTTTTTTGTAATAATTGCGTTTTTGAATAGTAGAGAAGCAATCCTAAACACAATAGAGAGCAAAAGCCTATTACCTAGTTTTTTGTCAAAAAAAAAATCAAAAGATGGACTCTTTCATTAATTACATTTATCTGGACAATGACACAATGAGTTTTGAAATCAAACCTTATGTATTGTGATACTATATTAATTATTATTTATTTAAAAAAATTAAATTGTTAAAGATAATGTAATTTTATTATTTATACTTTCTTATAAATTATGATATGCATAGATAAAGTTTTAACGAATGGAAAGTCGAATAATTTAGAACCAAAAAATTTAGCTTTGTCATTCCATTAAAACTTTCACTGTATTAATCATTTTCCCTGTAGCATACTCGTATGGATATAGGGTTGTAAATTAAACCATAAAAAATGGTGTATGGCCATGGGAGTTATGATTGTAAAATTAATCATATCCACGTGTTGTGTCCATCATGTCATGTGTTACACCGAGAGACTTCAAAAAGGCCCATCCTACCTCAGCATTATTGACTTGAAGTTGGAAAGCTATTTGCCAAAATGTGCCATATATATATATATATATATATATATATATATAGTTCCTCACATGGCCAGCCAATCCTTGGATGTATACAAATTGTATCCCTTTATTCCATTATTTTTGGCCCAATGAAAAGACGACATGTGGCGAGTTCTAATGAACTTGCCACACTGGATTTGTACTTTAATGTTCAAAAGAGGAAGAATAATATGGTATTACTGAATATTGATGTTGTGTTATTCACCAATAAGGAGAAGGTATGTAGTGAGTTCCAATAAAACTTGTTACGCCGGATTGCAACTTTGGAAAAATTTCATTCTGAGTGTTTAAATTATGTGATATTATGTGAAAGTAAGGAATAAGTGAACCCACCATAGTCTTATTATGTAGAATTTTCTATTTTAGAAGGAAAGAACTTGTCATCTTTAGCTCACATCTACCTATATGGAATGAATTTTACCACACATGGCGAGTTCTACTAAGCTTACTATGGTGTTAACCGTGGTAGATCAATTCTTTTAAGAGTTGGCATTTTTGAAGGTTGATGGATATATATATTTGTATTATATGCACCCCACGATGAAGAAGTCGCTAGAAAGAAGGAACCATGATACCATGAAAGCCTAGACCAGTTTAGAAAGTATAACCAGGAGGAAGTTACCCAAAGATAGAGGGAGAGTGGGTCTGTAATAATTCCTATATGCAAGCATGTATATATGGAATTAGAGGAGGAGAAGGATTCTAAAGAATGAAGGAATTATAAGAATTGTGGAACACTTGGCCAAACAAGAATACGTCAAGATAGTAGTATTTCATGCAACTGCTATCACTAACTAAAGGGAAGTTGTCGGGAACAAGAAATCGTGAAAAACAACGTGGAAGATATGATAAAAGAAAATTGAAGGAAGAAGTTACAACTGCTAAGAGAACATAGGACACTTAGCAGTTCGAAATCAATACAAGTGGAAGTTGCTAAGGTTGCTATTTACCAAGCCGCATGCATGGAAAGCTTTATAAATAGAGCACTTAGGCTTCACTTGCAAACCCTATTCAAATCACACAGCAATACAGCACTTCAATTACTTTATATTTATGTATCTTTACATTCATGTAACACACCTTCAATATGTTTAATTCAAATCCCACACTTATTTTTCTTACTCTCCAGCACTTTACTTTGAAGTCCTGCACTTTCAATACCACTTTCCTTTCCACTGGCCATAGAGTAATCCAGAAGTCCTTTTTTTTAAGGCAAAAAGAACCTCCGAATGTGGTAATTACAGTCATTCATACAGTCGCTGGATCCCTACAATCTCTTATTGAATAATTGTTCGGATATCCACATTGAAACGATAGTAGTTCCTGGCACGCCCGACATTCACCCTCCTTTTCGCACTTAGAAAAGACCATGGTTTTTAGGAGCCGAACAATATCAAATGGCACATATCATGTAACCTCCGAATTAGAAAATTTCGCATTCTATTAACTAAGTATTACGGGTTGACACTTTCTCATTTATATTCATTTTATTTTTTATTTGGATCTAACGTGGATAAGTCTTCCTTTACAATACTAAATCACCAAGTAATGATCCAAAGAGAATTTATTTCACTACACTAAAAGGAACATTCCAATATATTTTAATAATATTCATTGTCAAGAATAATAATTTAATGTTACTTTCTCAACTTAGAATAAAAAGTCTAGGTTTAAATTTCATATAGACAAAAATGGGTGTAT